AATTCCCATGTCTAAGACGGAAAATGTCTAAGACGGAATTTTTTCCCAAGACGGGTTCGACTGTATATAAAAGGAACCCCGTTGAAACGCCAGCCCCTCTATTTCGCCAACTTCGTCCTCGTCCTCGTCCAAAGTGTGGTGATATAACGAAGTTTGACTGTACTCCAGATACAGTCGTTGACCAAGATTACACTGGCCCCCCGGAAAATTGCATTTCTGAAATAGAAAAATTGCAAGGTAAACGGACTAAAAATTGCAAAAAAAAAATTGCAACCTTCCTTTCCCAGGCGCATTAATACGGGCTGAACGTTTTTAGCTTTAAAAACATGAGAATTTGAATACCGGTAGCATAAAAGCAGAACTGCCTTTAAAAAAATAATGACCCAGAATACAAATTTTATTAACAACATTTACTAGTAACAACACACCAGTACGTTAACAATAAAGTTATCAACCAAATATAATATAATACCGCGTGACACAAAATAACGGAATCCTCGGTTTTCATAATAACTTTTAAATGAAGGCATTAAATTTGACCAAATTTAATACATACTGGGTACTTGGTTCATGCAAAGATCTAGAAGTGTAGTATGAGGTTTAGTCTATAAAAATAAAAAATTTGATGTGAGATTTTCGAAACAACCTCTAAATGCAAATTACTTATGTTCCTATCAATTCAGATCATGTTCTATTTTTCTCTTGAAACCTTCGATACACCGGTAATCTGTATTTTCTATTTCAGATATTTTCTTTTTTTAAACCAGTATGGTATTGTTTTAACCCTATGTCAAATCGTAAATAAACAATGGTAATAATAAAGTAGATCATTTCTATAGCGCCCACTCCCGTGTGAACGCAGCTTAATTTTTAAGGCGTTTTACATAACGGAGTGTCTACGTACATGGTAACCGGACACTTAGCCTCAGAGTCTACGAACACGGTAACCGGCAACCGGGCACGTAGTCTCAGTGTTACATACACGATAACCGGGCAGTTCAGAACTCCTAGTTCAGTTTTTGTCATCCGGTGTTGCCTTCAACTCCAGCCCTCCCCCCGACTGTACCATTTTTTTTAAAAATCAATAATTCCCCCATTCCGGAATTCTTTACTTCGCAGCGCACATACTTTGAATGAACTTTGGTGAACCCAACCGGTACTCACAATGTAATGCAAGAGCACAGGTTCACTGACCGGTCACGACAATACGCTTGTACATGTATTTCTTTTTTTTTTTTTCAACAAGTGACAGCTCAGGACAAATATTGATTTATTTTCATTCCGGTTACCGTGTAGGCCTACGTAGATACTGAGAATAGGTGCCCGGTTACCGTGTATGTAGACAGCGCACACACACACACACACACACACACACACACACACACACACACACACACACACACACATGAACACCACACACACGCACACACCTACTTTCTTATCACACGCGCACGCTTACACACATGAGATCTATGCCTCAGTTTGTGTTGTACATAATGTATTCCAGCCTGAATTTCCGGTTATAGCTTTTAGAGTACGCCCAGTAGGCTAGAGCTGCGCCGAAACCATGATTTACGTAGCCCTATCGGCTCTGTACTCGCACCATTTCGTATTAAAAATTCTGTTAAGTATACTACACCTACGAGGCAACTAAGATCAGCTTTAGGCGAAACTATTTTAATTGTATACCACATTATTTGATGATTGTATATTATATGGTCAGAGCTCTTTCTTTCATGCCGGGCCTGGGGGCTAGAACAAATTGCCTCAGGGCATTGGGAGGGCGGGGTAGGTCTTTGGATATATTCAATGAAAAGGTGGCATATCCTTTATTTTACACACACCTATGCATGAAACATCTATATTTGACCACTACTGCTGCTTGAATGTGAAAGGCAGAGAGAGAGAGAGAGAGAGAGAGAGAGAGAGAGAGAGAGAGACTGTTAGCCTTGTTAGGTCACTGTTGATACCTTTGAATACTTCAACATGTAACACAGGG